GGCCTCTTGTGCCGCGCCCCCCCCCCCCCCCCCGGGAGTCCTGCCTTGGCGCTGGGCTGTGGTCCCGCTTGGGCACTGGAAACATGAACCAAGTGGGACTGTCACTGAGAGACTTATGAAAGGGCACAGGGCAAGGCTCCCTCTAAGCCGTGGAGTCTTGGGAGCAAAAGTTCTACTTTGTGAGCTCCTGGCATTGAAGCCGTGAGCCAGCGATTTGGCCACTGTAAAGAGAGATCAGTTTGCTCTGGAGCCCCATCCTACCCAAGCTAGCACAAGAAGAAATCGAAGGATAAAAAAGGTGTGAGCAGGAGGCTAAAAAACTGTGCGCCAGCTCGCACTAAGCTTAGAGGGAACACTGGTACAGGGCATGGCTGCGTTGACTCCTTGGGCCCTCTTTTGTTTCGTAATGTGGTTCATGCCAGCATCAAGTGGCCAGTCACGCAGCGGCTTCTGCTGAGAGCGACCGCCAGCCTTGCCAAAGGAAACAGGGACATTTTCATCTGCATTCTTTTGACCTTCTTCCATTTCTTCTCTCCACCCAGGAGCTATCAGTCACTGTCCACCTTATCTCCAGTTTCGTTGCACTAGCAGACAGCTTAGTGTACTTTATTCGATCAGGAACAAGAGGACTTTGGCTGGCTCGCAGGCCAGCTTCTATCTCCCGCCATGAAACCGCCACCCATAACACCCCCCCACTTCCCAATAGGTTATTTACAGTGGCTGAGAGTCCCATAGGCTCATACCTAGCCCACTGATCAGCAGAAAAAGCACTCTCAGAAAACTCAGGAAAACAGCAACCAGAAAGCAAACTGAGCACTGAAGGGAGAAAAGTCAACGCAGATTGACAAAAACAGACATGCGCGGTAAAAGCGAGAGAAAACACCTGTGCATAATAGGCCTACATTTGCAGCTCATCCAAGTCATTATGACCCAGCAATGTTTCAAATTACTGCCAGCAATATGCGTTCCTTGCTTTATTGGAAGTCTTTCAACACTGTGAGCAGAACTGTTCTTTAGACGCTTGTGTGTGTGAGGAATCTATTGTCAATTGTTCTTCTGTTTTGCATCATTGCGAGTGATTTGGTGTTAAAAAGGCAGTATTCGTTTTGGGATCAGGGGAGGGGGGAGTTACAAACTCACTAAACTGAACCTGTCTCTTGCTCGTTGTGAGTGCCTTGTGCATTGTTCATCCCAGAGCTGTTACTTTGGAATAGATCTGTGGCTACCAAGACACAGAATGGACAACAGTCTGGAAATAAACTTGCAGTTATGTGGCTAAATTACAAATGAAACTCGAAGTGATTTTCTTTATTGAATTTGACCTTAAGGGCTTGTTTATTTCACACACCACAAAAAAAGCCCAGTAGATCTTATAGCCAGTGATGTCCCTGAAAATATTTTCCAAAGTTACTAGAGTGTTATTGATTAAATAGTTTGTATGGTCTAGGAAAAAAGATTTCTTATTACAGAGGTTTAGAAAATATTTTCCTGGGCCAGAGAAAGCAGAGAGCTTTTTATCCATATGCCATAATACTAGAACTTGCAGACATCCAATGAAGTTGATAGACAATACATCCAGGACAGACAAAAGGAAATACTTCTTTACTCAATGAGTAATTATATTGTGGAATTTGCTGCCATTGGATGCGGTGGTAGCTACAAGCATGGACAGCTTTAAAAAGGGTTAGGCAGATGCATGGAGGAGAAGAGAAGAAAATTGTATTTGTACCCTGCTCTTCACTTGGAGTCTCCGAGTGGCTTACAATCTCCTTCCCTTCCCTTCTCCTCCCCACAGCAGACACCCTGTGAGTTCGGTGGGGCTGAGAGAGCCCTGAGAGAACAGCTCTGAAGCCACTTGTAACTGACCCAAGGTCACCCCAGCAGCTGCATGTGAGGAGTTGGGAATCAAATCACCACCGTCATTGTATCTTAAAGGATGCAGCCACGAGGCCCGAGGAAGAACCGATAGAAGATCTGATGCCGTTGTCATTGGACATGTACACCAAGGGAGTACCATCTTGAACTGTGGAGTTACCATCTTGGACTTAGGACATTAGTAATGGATTGAGTACTATGGATTTAATGTTGGATGTTTTATTATGTTTTATATATGGCATGGCTAATGGCCTGCCCTTGTTAGCCGCCTTGAGCCCACTGGGGAGGGCAGGATATAAATATGAAAAATAAATAAATAAAACCCAGTTCTCGCATTTTAGAGTCTGCACTCCTAACCACTACACCAAAGTGGAGGTGCCCATCAATGGCTGCTTCTTGCCATGGGGAGTGAAGTGTCTCCCCACAGGACAGCCCCAGAACACTTCTGCAACTCCTTTCCTTTATTAGCTTCATTGGCCAGAGGGTCTAAAACCAAATGACACTCCCAGGGGCTGTGGTTCCATTACCAGAATACCGATCTTATTCCTAGGGATCCATCATTCCACTTCCCAGTCCCAGAACACTTTTGCTCCTCCAAGGGGCTGGCATCCCACTCTTCGAGGTGTCAGTCCGGTCCCGGAATACTTCTACTACACCACTTGGGGTGGGGGGCAGTGTTCCCTCTAAGCTGAGTTCGTGTGAGCCAGCCCACAGTTTTTTAGCCTCTGGCTCAGACATTTTTGCCTTGGCTCAGGAAGGAGGGCTCCAGAGCAAACTGATTTATGCATTAGCCAAATTGCTCGCTCACAACTTTAATGCTAGGAGCTCACAAAGTGGAATTTTTGCTCACGAGACTCCACAGCTTAGAGGGAGCATTGGACTGGGGGGGTCCAGCCACAGGACCCACTTCTGCTCCTCCCAGGGGCCGTCGCTCCTCGGATCCAGTCCCGGGGCGGTCCACCTGGGCCCAGGGACCTTCACGGCACCTTTCTTCCAGCGTGCAGAACGTCCCCGCGGAGCCCAGGCGACCGGCACTGCGGGCCTCCGTGTCCTCCAAAGGGACCCGCCTCCATCCTCCCTCCGACCGGGCACTGCGTCGGGGGGGGGGGGGGGGA